GACAGAACTCGACTGCATTGAGTGCTTGACACGGCCAGCTACCAGCAGAGGGCGAAGGGCGGATGACCATCTCAGCAGGACGTATCCATCCACCAGTTGTTCAGGGGTATCACGCCTGTAGACTCTACAGGTTTCCTATTTCCAGTGAGAAACAGGTGAGTCTTTTTTGTATATATAGAGTAAACGGCGCAAATCCAAGGACCCTCATATATAGATCAGAGACCGTTTGATACATTCTGTAAAGTAAAAGAGGTCTCCAATATCCATAAGACAGATACTGTTTGAAGGTCTCCTGGCATATTTTTTCAGGTCGGCCTTGGACCCCCAGCGCCCACCGTTTCCCGAGGTTCGCATCATCCGCCGCGGGGGTCAGATGATGCGGGAGCACCTAACGGTGGTGGTGAGGACCGGACTGCGGACGTGGAGGTGATGAACCAGATGTGGTTAATTAAACTTAAATTAATGGCTTCTTTGTTACTACTAGTAAGGCACCTGTTACTACTAGCGTGGCACTTGTTACTGCTTGAAAGTTGGATGGATTCTGTTTTAAATACACCTGGGATCACCAGGGATCAGCGACTCGAGATGGAGATTCGCTGAACTTGCGACCCCGAGATCGTTTGGCCGGCGGATGATCAAGTATTGTTTGAAGATGTTTGAAGAGATCCACAGATCTTTGCTTTTCGCATCCACGAAACCCCTTTTCCGCGACGGCTCGTTCCGTTCTTTGCCCCCACCTGCAGCGACGCGAACGTCGGCAAGTCGCAGTGAGGTTCACTGAAGAAGGAGAGCCTGGACCAAAGGTACGGTGGTGTCCTTGCGATGCCGGGGACAGATTCAGACCATCTCGGCGTGAAAGTGCAGGCCCTAAGACCAGGTGTTTGGGGTATCCCGATGGATTCGAACCGCAGTTCGGCCATTCCCCCGCAACAATGTGTTCATTCAGCGCTACTTGGACAAGCACAATTCCACGTGTGACACAGGTGTTTGGAACGCGGTGAGTTGCAGCAACTTGCTCAAGAATTGAGAAAAGCCATGGGGGGGTTTGAGGGATGCCGTTTCGTTCCAAGGGTTGGCGAAGGGGCCGCTCCACATTCCACATGTGGGAGTTTCCATTCCGCGGAGCGGCGGAGGGGTTCTGATTGCCAGGAAGATATCTATGGAGACACCAATGTCACGGAGCTGAACAAGGACTTGCGACTTGGCGAAAGGACAAACCCAAACCAAAGTTTTGTGTTTTTGGTAGTTGTCGAGATGGAGAAGTTGGTACAGTGCTTCCAACATGAACACAGAACTACCTGGAGTGCTATCAACCCAGCCATATACACTGTAACAATCCTCATTGGCTTTAGAATCTTCCAGGTTGACCATAAGCACCCCGCTTGATTTTGGGTGTTCTTGGAAGTATTCCAATATTGGAACCTATCCGTGGACTGCGGGATAAGCCAGCTATAACACTTTGGCGAGTTGAACACCAACCGATCCTGGTTTCTATCTGAGCTTTCCGGCGGTATGTCCTGCCCAAACATGGGTGGAGCAGAACAGAACAGGACATACCAAACCGTGAAGACAGAGCATCAATTGCAGACCTGCCTTCCCCAGCAACTATGATAGGTAGAGGAAGACTGAAAGCAGCAACTAGTGGATGTCTCTTTGGCACTTCGTTCGGGTCGACGTCGACCGACATCGCGGCAGCGAAGACGTGGGAGCCGTCCGCGCCATGACAGGTACAATTCTCAGATCAATGATCGCATTGAACCCTGGATCGTGCAGTCCCTTGGAGCGAGATGAACGTCGTGAAACAAGCGTGTTTCACGACGGAGGACGCGCGGTCGCAGAATGGTATGGAATGGTGGGGTGTGATGAGGGATGTTCGATTGGAATTTTTGGAGAGACATTGATGTCGACCCTCACGACCTTCCTCAGGTCATCATGTCTGACATGTTCATCCCCTCATGTTGACCCTGTTGCGACGTCAAAGGGGTACGCGAAGCGGCTGGAAGGGGGGGAGAACTCCCTGTCTCTCTCTATCAGGACCCCAAAAAACGACATCGACCTCTTCAACCACTTTCCAGCGCGTTTGTGTCCTGCCGTTTTTCTGCATTGAATCTACTCCAAGTTTCGGGGTACTCTTCACCCATTGCACTCCAAATCCTCATAAGAGGCCAAAGAGGAAAACAGGTCTGCCGTCTTTTTCAACTGTCGAATGTGGATCCTTTTTCACCCTTTGTCGAACCGATTCGTCTTGCAGATACTGAGAGTCTGTGTCCATGCGGTCCATTCTTCGCTAAGACTTCCTGAGCAGAATGGAAGAATATGGTCCCTGTCCGCAAGCAGAGAAGTCTGAGAGATAGGTTCCAACATGTGCTACAAAAAGAAGACCATCCGTGATTCCTCTAGGCGCAAACAATTCCTTTTATAGCTTTCCCACTCTTCCGCCACTGGCCGTCGCCCGATCGGCTTCGAGGTTCTACAAGCCCAACAATGACGCCTCACGGGAGGCGGGGTTTCCGCGGTTCGGGCCATCCGCCGGCTGCAGCGGCTGCGTTCGCTTGGTTCGAAGGTGTCCGGGGGGGTGAAAGTACCGGACGCAGTGGAAAAGGAGTCTTACCCCTTTTCTTAGAGCGTCCGATCGCTCCGATCGTAGCGATGCCCTGGCTGTGACGTTCGTAGCTTCTTGTTACTAGTAATGCCAGGAGCTACCAGTAGCGTCCTTGCTCCTAGTAGCTTGGCACTTGTTACTACTAGTAAGGCACCTGTTCCTAGTAGCGTCCGAAACGCTCCTATAGGTGAGAGAGGAGTACGTGAAGTTTGCGGACACCTTCAAGGACGAGAGCGAGCGCGAGCGGTTTGCGCGAGCGATGCTCGAGCGTATGTCGCTGGGCGAGGGGTTGGGCGGGTGGGTGGGTGCCACTCGGATTCGCGGTGGGTGTTGGCTTGACGATGTTAATGTGGCAGCTGGCTTAGCATCTTGCCATGCCTGGATTGGCTACGTGCGCCCAACCAGCACCCAACCAGCACCGCCCAGGACTTCCTGAACGTGGCGTCGGTGAATTGCCGGCAGCAGCGGGAGGTGTGTTCGCAAGCCTCCATCAATGAGCCCGGGCAGCCCTGAGGTGTCGTTCGGGTGGTGTGGGGCCCAAAAGGGGATGAGAAGAACCGGAGCAGTGCAACGGTTGGGAGTTTCAGTTAGGCTGCCAGGCTCATGTTTTCTCTAAGACTTCTAAGACTTGTTTGTACTCTTAGCTTTTAATAGCAAGCTTCATCGACATGCTCTATGATTCGGACATCAAGCGAAAGCGACCAATCTTGTGGGCCACTTACAGGAGAGTGGGCCGCTTTCAAGATTGATCTACCGTGGTGGCTGGTTACGTTGATGGGTTGTTGCGGGACCCTGAAGGCTTTCAATATTATTCTTACTGGCTTGTGGGGCGTCGCACTGGCGTATACCGTTCTCACACCTCAAAAGTGCAAGACAAACCAGTGGGGCTTTGTGTTCTTTGGCTTTCTCTTCCACTGTGAAGGGCTGCTGACTTTGGCTTTGGCCACAGGCCCGCACGTGGTTTGGCGACTGTTCTCCAAGAATTCCTTTGAGGGAACATCTACAGTGATTTTCCAAAGCCATGGGAATTCCCTGAGAATTCACATCTACATTCATTTATATAAGGGAATTCACATCCAAAGCCACGCGTTTCCCCCAGTGATTTTCTGTCCAAACCAGAGACTTCGACGCCGACGTCGAACTTCGACGCCCTGAGTTTTCCTGCTGTTCGATGGTTCGGAGAAGACAAGGCTGGATGGAGCGGTCGACAGAGATAGAACCTAGCAACGGCCTCCAACCTACTGGCCTCCATAGCGATGGCCTCCAACCTAGCAAAAGGTTACATGGAGCCGTTTGCTTTGATTTTGGCTATCATATAATATCATCTTCTATCTTTTTTCTTGGAGTCCTGTGATGTGTTTTTCACTTGTTTCATTCAATACGTAGATCCTTTTTCTTGGGTGGTCTGAATCTCTTGTACAATGCGTTCGCTCTTTGTATGTACCGCGAAAGCGATGTGGCTGCAGGTCCCAGCAACAGCCTAATCGCCACTTGGTCTTTCCTTCCTTGTCAGGCTACAGAAACTCGACCCACAGATTTTTCTTCTGAGTAGCTTCAAACAGGAACTAAGGGGCATTGCCACAAAGGGCATCGCGATCGGACGCTACGAACGGGGCGCTCCTGGCCTTAGGACCAGAAGAGTCAAATTTTCTTCATGGGCTCAGAGTCAGAGTTCTTCCATGGGCTTGGGTCACGCAAACGTCCTTATGCTTTTCTCTTTAAACGCGTTCCATTTGACCCTGTAGCAATGATGCATACGTTTCATTCTGACCACGCACACATTCTATCTGCGCGGAAGCGACGACTAGCAGCTCAGCTCGGAGGTTCCGCTGGGCGCAAGAGTTCCGGTGTCTTTTTTTCAGATCATCGAGGTCCGTCCCTGTCAGGCACACTATTTTCGATGCAGGTTTCGGTCGTTTTCTTCGAGGTCCGCCCCTTCACCCCTTCACTTCCAGACTTTCGGGCCGTCGCGCGGTGAAAACGCCGCTTCCTTCGCCCTCGCCCCCCTCCTTCGGATCCGCGAGGGAGGTTCGATCGATGGCGCGCGTTGGCAGGGAACTCCGCCCGAGATCTTCGATGAGGGGGCGCTAACGGCCAAGAACCTGGGCAAGCGCCGACGCCCGGAAGCGACCGGAAGCGCCGGCTTTCGGCGGTTCGGGTTCGGACGGAGCGGGAACTTCCGGCGAGGTTGGGGGAATTCCGTCCGGTCCTGGTGAGGTCCTGGTATTTATTGTTGATCTGATGGCATCTCAGGAACACGCCAGGTCCGTGTCACACGCCCTCCGTCGGCATCACACCAGGTCCGTGTCACACGCGCCGCGGGTCCCTCTTTCGCCGATCTTTCGGGTCAGAAGAGTTGACAGGAATCGACGATTCGGAATCGATGAAATGTCCATTTGGATCCATTTGGTCTTTTTTTTGTGGGCCTTCCCTTTTTTTGAGAGAATTTCATCTGAAGAAGCAACCAAGTAGAGAAAAAGCAACTTCGTACAGGAACCTTCGTGCATGAAGAGACCCCTTCTGCTTCATCCGGTCATTCCGAGCTCCAATGGTCGTCTCTGAACATCCCCAGGTGGGCCAACACCATGATGCCAGACTACACGCAGCTCCTGCAGGATGGGGCCCTCGATCAGAAGCGTTCTTTTTATATACGTGAATGTGTATGTTGCGAATGCCAGCCGATCGGCTAGGCTGAAGTTTCGTTGTTAAGGGGTGTGGGGAAAAAGGGACGTAAACTACGTTAGACTGCTGGTGTTTTTACTTTTTGCACATATATTTTTGGTGGCTTGGTGATGCAAAAGATGCAAGATTGAAATGTATTGCATCACTAGCATCATCACCAAGCGAGAGTAGCACATGGCTAGTCCAATGGCAGTCTATTGACATGTGGACATGGCTGAAAGAGTTACTTTCCTAACTAACGTGTCTCCGTCACTTGCGCGTTCCTGCAATGAACCAAACAATAGCCAAGTAGGAAACCGATGCCAGGGCCTTGGGCAACCATATCACCACAGCAGTGAAGGTTGTCGGACCAGGAAGTTTGCAGCAGCTTACTGCACATGGCTGAAAGAACACGAAAAAATTTATAGACATAAATATCTATACAGTACAGAATACAGCTGACCCAGCCTTCAGCCATCTCCATGCGACGCAAAAGCCCCCTGGAGTAGAAGAGCAAAGCAAATGTGCGCGCGTGTCTTCACTCATGACCGTGATCGCTTCAGCGAGAGGAGAAGCACGAGCTTCGAAAATGGCTGGACAACGTGAAAGGGCCCCACATCATCCTCTTCACAGAGCCTTGGCCGTGCGTCTAACCGTAGACCACGTGGTGGTTGGACCGACTTTGTGCGGCCGTTTGGCGGATTTAAGCCATCTTTCAAGCAAAGAGGCAAGCCTTGAAGTGGCCCTGACGTTCTAAGAGAACGGATTATATATTATATCCAAAGAGGGTTTGAAGAGTCTACAGATCAGACTTGACACTTGGCTGTGCAGTTGGACTCTTTCTATTTTCTGAGGGTGCAGTGACTGACCCTGTAGCCTGTAGCTTTGCTTGTAAAAGAAACCTGAAGCCACTGCAACAGCCTGGCAGGAAACAATGACAGTAAGATCCAAGAGCTTTCATTCGTAGTCCCAGTGGTCCCATCAGTCAAGTTTATTGCAAGTTGGCAGCGTCACTTTTCTTGTACCCTGCAAGTTGGCAACGTTTTTTTGTGTTCGGAGCTCATGACAGTTGGAGAACTCGAAATCCCAGCAGCACCTGATTTTCAAGCGACAGACCGAGTCGCAGCAAGTGAACGGGCTGAGGATAAGAGTGCATCGCCACCCATGTGGAAGGCAAGGCTGGCAGGACAGCACTGAGATCAGGAGACCAGTAGATGCGAGGGTGTCGAGACCAGTCAATCACTCCACACCAGTGGTGTTTTTCACAAGACTCGACACACATCCGGCGGCAGGGGCGGATTGGCGTCTCTCTGGTTTTCTCGGTGGCCAAGTTGGTAGATTCTGCTCGTGTAGTTCTTGGTCATGAATTGTTACTCAGGTGCCACTGCTGGCTGGCCTTTTGGGTAAAAAGGGCACACTGGAGAATGGAGAACACTCGAGGAAGGAAGAACTGAGTGTTTAACATATAGTAAATACATATAATTTAACACGTGTTTGAATGTTCTTTCCGACATGTTTTAAAACATGTTTTAGGACGTTTCCCAGTGTCGTGTGACGACGCCCCTTGGAGGCCCTGAGCCGAGAATTCAAGAACCGCACGGCGCTGGCCACGGTGGGCGACCGACCACGAGACAAACGGGTGAAGCCATGTGGCCAACAGTGAAGACCAAGCCATGCAGTGAGAGGAACCAGGGTTCCGGGCTTTGGAACCAGGGCGTAAATGGATCGAATTTGTCAAGCTGTATGTAGCAGACTCCTTGAGGCAACTTTGCAGTGTACATGAAGTTGTCCCGACAAAAGTTCTGTCGGATGGGATCTTCCCCTGATCCATGCCAGGCCATGGTTTATATGGTTTGAAACAGTTTCCTTCACAGTTCGACCCCTTTCAGTGCCATAGACCCGTAGAATCACTGAGGAAGAACGCTTCTCTCATCTTTTTTGGTGTTCGTCATGCTGATGGCGTCAGACTGGCATCCGGACACCGCATCCGACTGGTCGGACCGAGCCGGTGCGACCGTGCGACCCCGGTGCGACGGATGCGATGTTCGCATCTTGTTCCGTTCGTAGCGTCCGATCGCTCCGATCGTAGCGATGCCCTGGCTGTTCCGTTCGTAGCTTCTTGTTACGTTGGATAAGTAGCACTTGACCCTCACGTCCTGTCGTCTTGTCCACCGCCGATTCCACCGATCCGCTCCGACCCGCCGATCCGCGGAGCGCGGATCCGCCGACAAGCAGGTGCCTCGCTGCGACAAGACGGGCGTCTTTAAGCCGCCCTTGCAACGCGAGTGACTGGGATGAAAGGAACGTTGACTCGACGCGTTTGATGCGAGGCTAGGCTCGCTACCGTAGGTGGTGGAACTGATTCGAGCTGCCTTCGGTGGGAAATTCAAGAGTTGCCAGAGTTCGAGCTGGGGGGAAGTTTTTGGAGGTTTCTGGCTGTTTCTTTGTTGCAGTATTTCTTGTTTTTGGTAATTCTTTGGGTATTCTTTGAGTGTTTGGTCGCTGGTTCCTGCAATTCTTTGGTTGTGACCTCCTTTCTAGCTTTATGAAGTACCATGTGCTGTTTTTGTGTTCTTCTTCCGAAAAGCTTTATTCATATAATATTTTCTTGAACGTTCACAGCCCTATCAAAAGGATTGAAGAAGGGTCAGCCTTTTTTGCAGCAGATCTTTCCTCACCTTGCCAGTAGGTGAATGACATGGCGTATATTATATACTGTATATTGTAATATGCAATAGGATCGCAGCAGTGCCAGGGTATTCATTGCCAGCAAGGAACCACCAAGCCACCAAGCCGGGATCTCACACCTGCTCGCGTCGGGCTTCTTCTCATTGAAAAGACGTCTCATCCTTCAGAGATTCGGCACCTTTACGCTTCAGCCCGGGCTTCTACCGGTGGAGGCGAACGGAACGGACGCTCTCCGCCTCGATCCGACTCGTCGCCCCGGACCCGGGTCGTCCGAGGTACGACGTGCGGATACCGCAGGTGATTCGGATCGATCCCCTCGATGAAACGGGCAAGGCAACGGTGATCCGGGTGGGGTGGGGGTGGACCGGTCCGGTCCGGTCGGATCGACCCGGAAACGGGGGTGGAAACCGGGTTGGGGGAGTGAGGCGAACGGAAGTGTGAGGCTTGGGGTGGTTGCGGAGTGAGGTCCTTGTTTGAAAAAAGAGCTCCACAACAGTCTCCTTTGAGACGAACACTGTGGATTGGACATCCCGCATGGTACAGGATAACTTGTCATGCATGCCGGTGGTTCGTGAGGTTGCCTAGATTTCTGCGACATTTGACTATACCCCTAGAATTTGCTTGCCTAAAAGACTCTTTGGCTCTATGTCCAAGTGGTGGTTTGTGTCGGGGTTGCCTCAGAATGAATTTATCTTTGTCAAGTCAATTGGCATTACATACAATATATGTACTATACATATGGGGCATCCCAATCAAGAACTAGTATTCACCTCCAAATTCCAAAAGTACTTACCCAACCCCCCAAAAAGAAGACATGTTTTTTACCGTTCAATCGCATACATATTCAATAACGGTGCGCGCCGTTTTGTCCATCACGGGTGCTCTGGTGCGCTGCTTTGCCGCTCTGCCTGGTCCCGGAGCTCCCGCCGGAGCGCTGTTTCGCCTCGCTGTAGGTGGCAGGCGCCATTCTTTCACTAGGCATGCCGGCGGAGTGGGGCCTTGCTCGAAGACGTCGACCCTGGCATCATCACCTGATGAAAGAGGGCATTCTTGACAGAGACCGGCCCATCCTTGGAGTGGATGACGACCCCCTTTGTTAGGCAAGAAGCAGGTCACACGCGGAGTGCTCCTCATCAGAGCAGCCAGCCTGGCGCAATTGAACATCAGGGCACTCCTCCTCGGCACGGTCAGTCGCCAGGGCCACAGCAGTTTGATACTCGAGCCAGGAGTTTGCAAGGTCCTCTTCATGCCTTTAAGCGTCACAAGCCTGAATGGCTGTCATTCCTCATTTGTGAGGGATGTTAAAGATCCGCTAGTTGTTCGGCTAGCTCTGACTTGTTGGGAGCACATCGAGCCTCACCTGGAGCTTGCCAAAGGCTTTGAATCTGTTTTTGCTAGGAGCTTGGGTGCTGGGCCGGCTGCAGGGTGCCGCTGCAGGGTGTTGCTTCCAGATGTCTATGGCGGCTAGTGCCGCTGCAGGGCGCTGCTGCTGCCGCCGCCCACAAATAACCTTAGCTTTTTGATGCTGGTGTAATTTTCAAACAATCACATTGGGGGTCCAGCAAGAACTCCTGTTGGAAGAACTCCCTGCATGGCCTGAGATGGGCTGTTGTGGCTATCCATGTTGATCACTCCGAAGCGTCTCCCAACGACGGCGCCGCACAACCGTCGCAAAGCGCATTCGTCGCGACGTGACATGGCAGGTCACCGAAAAGTTCACGCTCACCTTGAAAAAGGAGCGCACTGACGGATTCGATGATTTGTTTCGGTGCCTTTGTCAAACTGCCAGTAGTACAGTAGCTTGAACACATGACATGGACCAGCATGCTTTGCTAGTTTACACGGGTCAACATATCCATTTGAGGGCCAACGATTGCCTGTTACATCATCCTGTGAGGAATCCATCAGCCTGTGGCTGCTGAAAGCCATTGCTCTGGGCAAGAAGGTGCCATGCCAAACATCGCGACACGTCGTGCGAAAAGAAGGCGGTGAATCACCGCAGAGCGAGGTGTGTTCGGTGTCTTTGAAACGAGCAAACGTTCTGAACTTGTAACTAGAAGATAGAAAGATCGAATGGGGTGCTCTTTTGACCGTTTGGGTGGCGGGGAGTATTCCGTATGATGTTTGAACCTGGATGGCCATTCACTCGGTTTGCATTACCTGGTGCCCTATCACCAAATGACTATATCGTTCGTTTTAGAATTACCTGGTGCCATATTACACATAGCTTGGTTATACAGGCCGGGTGTCTTGCGGCTTCTTCCAGGCCGGGCCCCAGGCCACCTTCAAGGAGCTCTCGAAGGAACGCCTCGAGGCGCGAGAAGTCGTCGTGCGAGTGGCGAGTGGAGTGGCACGGGTGCTCAAAGGATCGGATTGGAGCGGTGGAGCAGAGCCACGGACATGGAGCACCATTTTGCGTGGCACACTTCGCTGCCTTGGCCGCTTCTGGGTTTTGTATTGTTGGTGTGAAGGGGAGCCGATGTGGATTTGAAAAGAAACCACACATCCAATTGTTTGAGAACTTGTGATAAAAGAGATGTTCCATTTGGCGGACACTGGCGAAACCAAGTTGACTGAGGAATACTCAGTAAAGCACTCAGCAAGTCAACATAGCAAAGGACTTCATCTCTCAAACCAACACAGTATGACCACCCGGAGGAGAGAAACGCTTTCCAACCCCCTCTCTGAGTTGCCAAGTTGTTTTGTTAAAAAAGGTGGACCATTGTTGATACCCAGTTTATTTGTGAAACAACGCATGGCTCATAGAGCATCGAAATCAAAGCCATTTGTCATTGCTTAACGAAACTTGGAGAATCGGATCAACTCAAACAGAAGAAGACGGCTTTCTACGGAATACATGTGGGATGGAGGCCATCGCTAGTAGTTTGGAGGCCATTACTTGTAACAAGAAGCTACGAACGTAGCTAGAAGCTGGGCTTTCTACGGAATACCGGTGTTTCCCGGGGTCGATCACTGTTCGGTGAAACACATCGGCGACGATCCTTCCTCCTTCCCAGCCTTGAGGCGGGCGACTGTGGACCTTCGGACAGCCAGTTCTGCTTTCTTTGGCTCAAGGCGACGAACTGCCCGGTGGAGCCGAAACTCGGGATGAACGAACACCTTCTTAGCCTCCAACCGACCTAGCGGCCTAGCGACGGCCTCCAAAGACGATGGCCTCCCACCTGCTATAGCGATGGCCACTTGCGGTGTTTGCGGTGAAAGTTCTGTGGCTGTGCTGAACGTCTTGATTTGTGGTGCCTGGCCGGGTGACCCTCCCATCACCCGGTGACGGCTCTGGAACCCGACGCCACCGTTGAGGCCGGTGCAGATCCCGCCGTGGAGGAGGCCACTAGGCAGTTGGCGCAGAAGTACCGCACCGACCCCATCAAGGTGGGCCGTGAAGGATTTGATTGGGTGTTTTCGGGCTTCTCAGCTCTTCTCAGACAGTGGGTCAGTAGCAATGGGCTTTCTTGCCGTGGCTTTTTGACCAAAGTTGACCTCGAAAACATGTAAGCCGCTCTTCCAACCTGTTTGGTGTTGATATCCGCAAAATATTTGGGTGTAATGGATACAACGTCTTGGATCAGTTTCTTTTGCCAACCAGACGGCTTGCTGCTGAGCAGTGTAAGTAAACCATTGCTGGTGAGTGAATTTACTCCAATCATCACTGACCGCTTCAGATGGGAAGGAATCTGAGACTGCTACAGCCTGCCACGAATGTCAGAGTTTGTTATATCCCTGCTTCTGTTTGTCGCTCTTTGATTTTGATGACACACAAGTTCGTAGGAGATCTAAACTGATGACGCACCGGTCCGGGGATGACACAAACCGCAGTCGACCGGTCCGGTGGCCATCCCGTCCAGATGATGTGGGCCAACGTGGAGCTGAATCCGTCGATCTTGGATGCCCGGCCAGCCGAGCGACGGACGAAGCGGCTGAGGGGTTTCAGTGCGAAGCGGTTCTTTCTACATCCCATGGTTTGTTCCGAGTCGATCAGTCTGAGCAATGAGGCTTTTCATCTCAGGACTTTGGTTCTTGTCTTCCTTTCCAGACCCGACCTGTCCTTTTCGTGAGACACGAACTTGTTTTTTGCGTCTTCTTTTGGAGTGTCTTTAAGCGGTATTTGGGCCGAGGCCTTCTCTTTGCATGACAGTGATGCCACTGACTTCTTTGTCCGGAAGCCCAAGCATCGGCTCAGGCCTGTCAGATGTTACGACTGGACCTCCAAATACGGGACCCTCCAACTCTCTAAAATCCAAATCTGAGGCGTCTTTGACATTCTCTTTGAGCAAGGACGCGAACCGAACGGTGCTCCTGGCATCGCTACGAACCGCGTTTTCAATCCCTTCCGGGTCGACCGCGTTGGATGGGCGACACTGGACCTGGAAGAGCGGCGGAACGCTCTCCGTCGCGTCCATGTTTTCAGTAGCGTCCACTTGTAGGTACTAGCTACCTCAGTTCCTTCATTCAGTAGGTAGTCTCTACTTAATTAAGTAGGGAGGGGGGGGGAGCGGGCTTTAAAAACACGTTGTCAGTGGTCTGCCATACTATCACCCTAAGACTCCTTAGATGGGATCAACCTTTTTGGGGAAAAGCGGGAAAAGCGGTGGGGAGGAATGAGTCGACCTCGGAAGGAGGATGAGGAGAGTCCACCTGGCACCATGATGTAACCTGCACTTGCCCAAATGGACCCGCATATCACTTGTCTAACGTGCTGTGAGTGGTCCGAACCATGTGAACTTGCAGGGGGATCATTACTGAAGTACTGCACTTGTTCCTAGTCGCTTCTTGTTACTACTAGTAAGGCACTTGTTTCTAGTAGCGATGCACTTGTTACTAGGAGCTACGTTCGGTTCGCGTCCTTGCTACGTTCGATTAGCTGGCCTACCCACGTGGGACCGATCCCTCTTCCGCAGGTGGCGTACCGAGCGAAGAGATCTCGCTTCAAGGTGGGCGTACCGGGCGTACCGGGCGGTTTGGAGGGGCGCCAGGTTTGGTGGGGTTTGGGCCGTTGCTGATCCACTTGATCATTGATCCGTGCTGGGTTTGGGTGGATACGGTGGATACCACTTGATCATCTCACAGTGCGAACTCATTCCGGCAAAGCACAGCTGAGCACAGCTCTTGGACTGTTTGCGAACCATTCTATTCCTTAGTTTGGCGGCAAGTGATTGCCTGCTGCTCTTTGCCAAAGACGTTGGAAGGGTCTTAACAGCACCGTCGTGGCCATTTGAACCATCCCAGTTCGACGGATATCATTGAACTTAGTAAATCAATTTAAATCCTACAGAAACTGATCTGGGCAAAGCAGCCCCGTCCCACGTCAATCGCCATGGGCGCCGCTACCAGCGCGCCCGTGTCGCTGCCCGACGATGCCGTCTGCGAAGCCCAGCTGCCGACGTTCATCGCAGAGGATTCGGAGCGGGTGGAGCGGCTGCCGAGCAGGGCGGAGGAGCAGCTTGTCTTGAATGCAAGCCTGGGTGAGATTCAGCATGACCAAGAGAACATTCAATCCCTGGGAGGATTTTTTTGGACTTGGACAATGATCACTGGTAGGTATCAAGCTTGGCGTGTGCCAAAATGTGTCCCGCCCCAGCAACGGTTCGTTTTCATGGACCTTTCTATGAGTGTTTGGAGAGGTTTTTTCTTCTGGGGGAAAGCATGGGAAAGCTCGGGATGCCCTCCTTATCCCACCAGTTGGACCACTTTTGCCTCGAAAGCAAGAAGGTGTCAGAGTGTCTGAGTTTGGGAACAGGAGAGAATCCCCAGTTTTGCCTCCATTGTTTGTGGGCCCCTTTCCTCGCATAGCCTCCGGCAAACCGTTGTAGGCGCACTGACCCGCTACTGACTCTACTAAGCACCAACCGGGTTACAAAGTTCTTTTTTCTTCCCAACAGCGAAGCTTTAGAGACTCTGAGCAGCGAAAGGAAAACGACTTCGGAGCAGATCGGAGCAAGCGCTGGAGCAGGTTCCAGATCGTTCGCAGGCTTTGGAGGATGGAGCAGGTTTCAGAGGAGGTTCCGGAGGAAGGTTCCAGACAGAGGGTTTGGAGGAAGGCTTCGGAGCAGGGTTCCGGGGGAAAGTTCCGGAGAAAGGTCCCGAGAAAGCTGATTTAGTGTCAGGTTGGTGTGTTGTGTATATGTAGAGCAGATGCTGTCACGCAGACCTACAGACACGCTGACGTGGCTCATGTTGTGAGGCTTTGTTGCTGTGGTGCCACGCCGACAGGCCGCCAGGCTGTCATGCTGACATATTGCCATGCTGGCACGGGTTACTCGATGACTTGATGCGCCGAGAGCCTTTTACGCTCAGATGTGGGAAGTCGGGTCACCCTTTTGTGCCAACGTGCTGACTGGCGAAGCCGGCTCCGGAAGACATTTCCTGGTGTTTGCTTGTTGCCGTGTGGTCATGCTCTCGCATATGTGGGCGCGTGTGCTGACACTGACGTGTCGCCGACCTGTGGCATATTATATGGAACTTGCGCAGCAGGGTTTGACAAACACACACACACACTGCTTGTTCATAGAACGTAGTAGTAGTAGTAGTAGTAGTAGTAGTAGTAGTAGTAGTAGTAGTAGTAGTAGTAGTAGTAAGTAGTAAGTAGTAAGTAGTAAGTAGTAAGTAGTAAGTAGTAAGTAGTAAGTAGTAAGTAGTAAGTAGTAAGTAAGTAGTAGTAGTAGTAAGTAGTAGTAGTAAGTAGTAAGTAGTAGTAGTAAGTAGTAGTAAGTAGTAGTAGTAAGTAGTAGTAGTAGTAGTAAGTAGTAGTAGTAAGTAGTAGTAGTAAGTAGTAGTAGTAAGTAGTAGTAGTAAGTAGTAGTAGTAAGTAGTAAGTAGTAGTAGTAAGTAGTAGTAGTAAGTAGTAGTAGTAA